ACAATCCGCATCAAGCGGTTCCATAGACAAAAAACATAACAATTCGACAACTGGAGGGCTTGAAGTCTGGGGACCCATGCGACGACAAAGCAGTGCGTAATGCAAGTGGGGCCCGCGAAAATAGTACAGCAATGATCCCAAACTGAAGCTGACAACGGTCAACCATGCCACCATTTAGCGTGATCATTACCTTCACGTTGCGCGATCTGGAGGGTGAGAGGGTAATCTTCGGCATATCTTTTTGCGACTTGTTTAGAAATCATACGTTGGGCTTAATTTTTCCACGCATGAACAACGCGAAAAAACTTGCGTCTGCATTCTATGCAATACTTTTGCACTATTTATCACGACTTATTCAAAATGCAGTCCCGTTTAAAGATGACATTTACAACAGATTGCGAGTACAAGCTGAACGCTCTGCCTCTCTCCTTCCCCACCGTCTTTCTCAAACTGCCTCTTATTTCTCTGACATTTGCCAGCACAATTTTCAACAATACGTCACGCGCTCAACGCTCGCGCTTGCTGTAAGCTTGGTCTTCTGCAAGAGCAGGGCGTGTGGTGGTAAAATATCAAACACGGCTCACACTAACATTACTTTGGGTGGTCCTGAGGGCTTGGTCTTGAGGGGTTAAGAGGGGGGGGGGGAGAGGAAATGTGCGGGAGGGGGAGGAACAATTGTCTGGCAACACTGAACAGTCGGTTCCGTGCTGATCGGGACGTGCGGGCCCATTTCCCTTGCAGGAGGAAGTCCTCGGCCCGCGATTTACATGGGTCGGGGCCCCTGAGTCAATGAAGGCCTTTCACTGTTGGTTCGGGGCCTACAGGGCCTAAAAGTGCGGCTTTTGTCGGCAAAGACCTCTATTCGGCCACGGGCAGTGTTCAAGGAGACCACACAGCTCACAGGGTGTAGGGGCGCGGATGGAGGGCCCGGAGTGCACGAGTGCTTGCTGCAGGTGACATTAAGAATCCCGGCTCCAAGGACAGGGCCCTCGAATGTCAGTCAGTGGGCCTCTTGCACCGATTGTAGACCCCCTGAGACAATGCGGGCGCCTATTTCAGCCAGGGACCACCAACACAGAACGGTTGGATGCGTGTCAGCCTGGGCCCTGCGGACATATTTGTCAAGCAAGAAAGAGGCCCGGGCCCGAGATTGGTGCTGGTAGGTGCCACTGAAATAATAGGGGGTCCTGCGTCAGTCAGGGGCCCACAGTGCCTTCGGTGCTGGCAAGGGGCCTCGAGTCAGCCATGGGAACGTTTACTGAACATGGACAGGGACGGGACCCTCGAATGTCACAGGGCCTATTGCGTTGACACTCTCGGACCAACGTGACCCTCCGTTCGCACGTTGTCCGTCGCCTGACATTAGTCACGGGACAGACGCAGCGAGGCTTAAGGAGACTGGAACGCCGGGCGTCTGGGTGTTTGACATGCGAGCGCGCATACTCAAAAATATGCTGCATAATGTAGGACTACTCGATTCTGAATGACGGTAGACCATACCAATGGAAATGTTTGACCTCGGTACGATGTTTACGGGCCCTCCATATCTCTGTAGAATCCAGAAAAATAACGACAAAGGACCTGAGCGTTAAGCGCCACTCACTGCTCTTGGTTCAGAAAGAGTCCACTGAACCATTGTAACATGAAAAGTGCCGGTGCTTTATTCTATGTGATTATGTGCCTAGTGATTAAATTCTGTTTTCAGTTTACTCACTTCGAAATGCAACGAGAAAGACGCCTTGCGGTGGCTTACGTGTTTTGTTTTTTTGGACATATGGGTGAAGGCAAAAATCAGTTATGCTTTTATGGGGAGGACATTTTATAGCCAGGGACCCTAGTCGGCCATGCACTCTTTCCCCTTACGAAGATTCTGGCTGCGCTCCTGGTCGCCGTGATAGCCACGACTGTCGTGTGCTCATGACTAGGTTAGAAGGTCCGGTGGACATATCTGCGGCCCATGTGCTTTGACATAAACAGCACTGGCAGTGGTGGTCATCTTGGATATAAAGGGAGAGGTTGGAGAGGTTGTGGCCGGTTGGGTGGGATTGGGTGCTAGTGACGTACACTCCTGTTCCCCGCCTCTCATGAATCGCCCGCTCAGGACTCTCGAATTACCAAGGTGAGCTTCTCGGGACTCGATGCTGTTATCTGTGTATGCTAATTATTCTTACAAATTCATGTTGCCTGATGTTTCAGTAAAGTACCAACACACGACTACAGCAAAGAGAATCAACATCACATCCATGGCACTACATCAAGTCATTTGTCTTACAGTTGACGAAGTAGTGGATAGCCGGCTAACCAGTCTACAAACCGCCATGACCGATGACATAGGCAGACATCGTACGTAAGGAAGAGCCAGGAGGATCTACAATGCCAAAACCAGCCAAGCCATAGTTTCTCACGCAAAGCTGTTCATCGTGGCGTGAAGAGAAACGCTTCCAGTATGACCCTTGATCTTTCGAAGCTCACAAGGCTCATCGCAATAATCGTAATCCATGAAGCTTGTGGCCAACGTTCTGCCAGCTCTTGGTAGAGCGTCGATTTCATGGGAGTGATATGCGACTGGTCAGGCACGACAACTTAAAATGCCTTGCAGTTTTGATCATAATGGTCCGAGATGTCCCTATTCTCTTTGTTTTGTAGGAGTATGCAACCGTGACATTAGCGAGCCGTCGCAATTATTGCATCACATTGAGACAGGTACATCAATTCATCATTTTTAATGGTCCGTGTTTGGTGTGCTGCCAGGAGAGCTAATGTTGACCTTTCGCCAAAGGGGAGGGGGAGGAGCGCAGTTGGCCACAGCAATAAATTAGGCATTTATCAAAATAAGGCGGGATCAGTCAGCTGAGAAACAAAACTTCAGGTAGGAATTAGGTTATTGGGCCATCAGCCCCCTCCCCTAGTCACTTAGAAAGTTTGACGCCCCTGGGAGATCAAGATAAGTGAGGCTGTCAGTGGCATAGGTCATTTGATCAGAACTTAGCGCGAGTGGAAGAGTCTGCAATGTGCGTGCGAGACCATCATGGCAACCATGGGTGTAACCCCTGACAGGTGGGCAGGGGTGGGAGAGAGACAGCACTCAGCTATACGGCCCTAGCACCCAGGGGCGGATCCAGAGGGGGGCACGGGGCCACGCCCCCCCCCCCTCTCCCTTGGGCTCCGAAGGGGCCCCATGGCCGGCCGAACAGGTGCAGTTTTTGAAATACAAAGCGCAACAAAACTGGGCATCTCTGGACTTTGAGGCGACCAAGAACAATTGTGAGCAAAAGTGCAGGGGCTATTAGAAGTTGAAAAAATCATTCAATGATTGGAAAAGTTGTTAACTGGAAATTTCAAGCCTTATTACACTGTCTAGAGGCCCCATACTGTTTGCGGGGCTTAAACGCCCACATACAGGATCATCCCGATCGTTAAGGAGCGTTCCACGTTTTCCTTTATCTCTTTGCATTTGCTCGGAGGGCCCTGCGCTGTTGTTGGAACCCTTCCTCTTAGCGTGCCTGGGCACTCTTGTCAATCATTGGCCCTTACACGGATTCTTTCCATTCGCCAGAAAGGCTCCTGGGCACTTCTTTTCTGAATGGGAGGGGGAGGGGTTACGCTCTTGTGGGGTCTGTTTGATAGCCTGCTCGGGCACATTCGATCGTTCGGGGCCCTCTACGTTGGGGCTTGGGCACGTGCTATTTGAATGCGGCCCTACGCACTTGTCGGACGCCCCTTCTGTTTGCCACCTCTGGCATGTTGGATTGCCCGGGAGCCCCGTACATTGTTTCTTGGTGTTTGAATTTAGGGCCCTCTTCTCCTATCGGGTCATCTGATAACCTGTTCGGCTAGACTCCATCTCTGGGGAGCCCTCCGCACCGGGTTTTGGGTACTTCTTATTCGAATGGAGGACCTTACGCTCCTGTCGGAACCCCTTCTTATAAGATCATTGGGCCCATTCGATAATGGGGGACCTCTACATCTGGTTTTGGATACTTCCTTTTAAGCGGAGGACCCTCTGCCCTTTTCGGGGCCCCAAATCGACTGCTACCGTGGTGCAGTCGATTATTTGGGGCCCTTTGTATCGTGTTGTGAGTATTTCATATTCGATGTTAACCTGCTCTGACGCACTGGATCGTTCGGGGATCCTCTGTATTAGATCCTGAATACTTACTATTTGAATGGAGGGCCGTACGGTCTTTTTGGGAATCTTATCTGTTAACCTGTTCTGGCACACTCGATCATTCAGAAGCCCTCTACATCGGGTCTTGAGTACTTCCGTTTTGAATGGAGAGCCCGACGCTCTTGACGGGGGCCCGATATGTTAACCTGCGTGGGCGCGCTCGACCGTTCAGAGCCGTCCTTTTTGCGTCTTGAATATCTCTTATTTGAATGGATGGCCCCATGTTCTTGGCGGGCCACAACCAGTCAGCTGCTCGGGCCGGGGGCGGATGCAGAAGGTCGGGGGGGGGGGGAGGCACGGGACCATGCCCCATGGGCCATGCCGAAGGTGACCTAAAGGCTCCGAAGGGGCCCATAACCGGCCGGACGGACGCAGTTTTCTTCCACAAAAACACAACAAAATTGGATGCCTTTGGGGCTACGGGCGACCAAGAGCCATGGTTAGCAAGACTAAAGAGTTCATAAGCAAACAAAGTTTATTCTTCGCTGATTGAGGAAGTGTTGCTTGAGAGAAATTTAGGACCTCATTGCGCTATCTAGAGGCATCACGCTGTTGGTTGCCTGGGCCTATACGTCCACTTGCCTGGCCAATCTGATCGCAAAGGAGCTTTCCACGCTGCCCTTGATCTTTTTGCATTTTCTCATAGGGCCCAATGTGCTATTGAGACGCTATCTAATCCTGAGCCTGAGCCTGAGCACTGTCAATCGATCAGGTTATCCCCATTCACCCGAAAGGCTCCATACACTTTTTCCGGGGCCCATATGCCAGGGCACACTCTCAGGGGCCCGTCATATAAGTCTCGGATTCTTTCTACTTGCTTGGAGGACCTTGTGCTGTTGCTAGGGCTCTTATAAGGTAAGGCACGGAAACACTCGATGCTCAGGGGCCCTCTACTTTGATGAAGAGCTCTCTCCCTTTGCTCTCATTTGCAGAAGACTCTTCATTCCTATCGAGGCTCGTGCTGTTAACCTGCCCGTGCACGCTTGATCGCACCGGGGTATTAATTTATGGTCTTGGATATTTCCCATTTGCTGAGAGGGTCCTGTGCTATGGCCGGGGCCTTATATATCAGTCTGCCGAAGCACTACCAATCGTTTAGAGGCCCACCACGCTGGTGTTGGGTTCTTTTTGCTTGCTCTGAAAACCCTACACCCTTTGACGGGAGCCACTTCGTTGGCCTTCTGCGGCACCCATGATCGCTCATGTTCCGTCCCTATTGGCCTTGGTGCCTTCGTCTGAGAGCAGCAGTCGAATATGCGCCGATGAATTTTTACGCGCTATTGCCGCACGTAGACATGCGCAGACGTCGTATGTGTCATTTCAATTGGCTATTGAGTGCGTGACACTCATTATACTAGTGCATCACGTTCTTAAAATATTTTGAACGCAAGGATATGTTGTGCTACTTAATAACAAAGGAAATATTCTGCATTAGTCATCAGCCATCAGCTGATAAGATCGCACAGCCGGCTAGTCGTAAATGCATAAGCCAGCAATTAAGTCCATGCTTGGTTTAAATGGCTGTTAGCAGCCAACACAAGTTTGTTTTCCCGTTGCTCCGAAACACTGAGCCTCAAAATTACAGCATTTAAAATGACCTGTAGAATATGAGCGAGCTCTATGTGTTTGAATGCGAGCATGCCTAGCTTTATAAGGTTGTGCAGAGTAAGATGGGTTTCCGTATTTATTAGATAAATGAAAAAGTAAATACATAATATATACGACGTAGCACTAGCCTTGAAAGGTAGCAACCGGAAGGCAATTTTTTTTTTTTGGAGGGGGGACCCCAAACTCCAGCGTGTCACGATGTTGCGTGCCCCCCTTAACGTGCCCCCCCCCCCATACATAGATACATATATACGTATATCTTACAAACGACGTAGCACCTGCCTTAAAACGTAACGACCGAAATGCATTGATTTTTTGGAGGGGGACCCCAAACTCCGGGGGGCCCCGATGTTGAGTGCCCCCTCTCCCTTGACGAAATCCTGGATCCGTCTCTGCTTGCACCAGTGGGCGGACCCGCCGCTTCGAAACACTAATTAACGTCGACATCTATCGCACACTGCTATCACCACTGGTGGCCATAACGACGACCAGATGTCGCTAACAATGCAATATGCGCCTGACTCGGAGCCAATGGAGAGGCTGAGGGTCCATTGCCTGACAGATCGAAATGATCGCGTGAAAAGGTCAGTTTTCGATTGTCCAGCGGTCAAATGTTAATGTCTGTGCGTACTGGACATGATGATGTTGCGTGATCTCAGTAATGATCCTTCCAGGTTTACTTTGGCATGTGTCCCGGCGGTGTTTTATGCATGGCTTGAATGGAATGTTCCACATTTAAGATATTGAGATAAGCATCAAATATGACGGGAAAAGCTTACATGTAACTATTGGTGAGCGTTCAAGCTTCAAAACCCACCCTGCGTAGCAAAATTTTAAAGTTGGTAAAAATGCGCCCCGTTACGTCATTGTTTGATGGCGTCATGGAATGGTTTTGTGACGACAGCAATACCTGACAGCATCTGGCAGCCAGACGCTTGAAAGGCACGAGCATACATTTCTAAGTAAATGATCACATATCATGAGCATATGAAAGCACTTTAAGGTGATAGTAATTGCATCACAGTCTTTGACAACCTGACACCAGGGCTGAACATTGTGTGCTGAAGCGTATTCAAGCAAATTGCATACAGAAATCATGGCTGAATTATTCTTAACCAAGCTATCCTAACAACACGCAAACACAACTGACTAGAATCCTTGCAATGGAAGTTCAGGTGTCAACGCCACACAATGACCCATCGCATGTGTTACCTACCTCCGCGGATCGCCAACAACTGTGAGGGCCTGAGGTATTGTAGGATGAGGTCTTGCGTCTTCGTCGGCAGCTGTTCAAAGTTGGTACATGGCGTTGCCTGGAAACGTTTCATGCAGTCAACTTGAGAAGCCCACACCAAATCAGTAATTCGAATCATCAGCACGGTCCAGTTGATGCAACACCTATACGACGATGGCAGTTTTCTTACATCAGCATTGTGCTTGACACATTTTCAGCAGGATCGATGCCGACTGTGGCCCACGACACCCACAACGCATGGTGTTGGTTCTCGCTCTGACTTTGGGCAGCGCAGTGCAAGTTTGAGGCGAATAGGATTCGACTCAACCAGGTATGGATCAAAAACGGAATTGATTCCGATGGTTGGATTCCGATGTAACGTATAGCGAATAACCAGCTCTTGAAAAAATGGCCTTCATAACATGGTAAACAGGGCACGTGTTTCAACAAAAACACGGCTATCTATACTTGCGGCTCATTTGGTGCGAATTTAAGGGGAGTGTTCCACATTTGCGTGGGGGTTTGAGCTGACATAGCCAAATTGCAGATCACTTGGTGAAGTTCATAACCCTGACCTCGTTAAGACCTAAAACCCTTTAATTTCAGAGCTCCACGCCCGCGAAGATGTGTAGACTATTTCAAGGTCATTCAGGCATGCATGACGCCGTGGGAACGTCATTCAAATCCTGGCACCTCACAGGCCAGGCGGCGTTCAAGGCCAGGAAGAATATTCTCATCCAGCCGTTCACATCTGGCGTTCGTGAGTGCGAATTCCAAATGACTCAAAAATCAAAGGGCTCGTCAACAATGCTGAGTACGCAGTGGTAAGCTTTAGCGACGAAACGCGTTTTGTGCTGCATAATATAAGAAGTCCGACACAACTTTTTCACTTGGTAGTTAGCACAGAATATACGACTTGTAATCGAATATCTTAAGAATAACGATACAATCGAGTGTGTAGATACAAGTAAACGAATAATGTCATAACTGAGTGAGTGAATACAAGCAAGCATTTTGAATCCGCGAATAAACAAACAAGAACATCAGGACAGAGGGCCGAGATATGAACATGTGACAATATTTGGCTCCGCAAACACTTCCAGCCCGTGCTGCTATCCCTCGACGATGAAGTACTACAAATAAGTGAAATTTTCACACGGCTAGTTTGGCAGTATCTCAACGTCATGCAAACGCCACATGGCACAATCGAACATTGACACACCATCGAACATATTTACTGAAAATGAAACTCGTGTTGTCTACAGCAGCCTTTTTCTCTCAAAAGTACACCAATAGTTATAAGTGAGTATACCTCATCATATGTGACGCTTGCTTTAACATCTTCAACTGTGGAACATTCTCTTTCAACTCCCTAACCATTCAGGCATCTCTGTGCCAACACTATCATGCAAACTGAACAACCAATTTGTAGACTTGACTTAGACCTGAAACTGCGGTTCGTTGACTCAAATCCAGTCCGAGTTTCAGTGAAATTACAAAGGTAAAACGATTTCCCTCAACTCAACGGAAAGATGGCCGACGCGGCAATCAATTCTGAGTCCACCTATCATGAAGTCCAGGTGTGCGTAACGTCATACACATTCATTGTAATGGTAGCAAAATGTCGGCTACAAAACGATTTCGCCGCCTCCTACTTGGATACTTTTGTCTTCTTCCTGACTCCTCACGTGCTAGAAGTCAGTCTCTGCACAATTTGTGTCACGTTCTTGGGACGTCCCATTTCTCCCATGCAATGATGCAAACCTGTCACGGTATTCAAATTGGTTTTCAACATCACTGGCAGGTGATTTGACGCTTTCACCTTATGTGTCATGATTTGCGGTCAGTTCAACAGTTTGCCCGTATATACGACAGCCACACTTCATTCAAGGTCACACCGCCTTCGCAAGAGTTTACCTGCTTTTTGGTAACCATGACCATAACCATAACTATGATAACCATCACAACCATTTACTTGCTTATTGATAACCGTTCATCACCATAGCCATTGCTTATTGATAACCGACCCAAAGTATCCTTGTACCTTACTGACTTCACCGGAATGCTGACCTGGTGACAGTTTGATCCGAGTCACTTTACGACAGAGGCTGTCGGAGACACCCACCTGTATCTTGAACTGCGCCTCGAGGAACTTGCACCGCTTTTTTAGCGCCATAGACCGTTTCCGTTCCACGCGCCGCTCGTCAGCCAGCCTGGAGTGACGTCACAACATACCATGTGACGTAATGATGTCAGGTGGCGAGACAAAGCGCTACGACGATGTTCAGATGGAGAGTGACCAATCATGATTCACAACAGCACACCATCATAGCGCACATGCCCCGTCACCAAAATGGTTAAGCTTGATGCATTCATCTTATACTAGCAGTTGCCTAAAACGGGGCCAGTTTCATTGATAGTAAAAGCGAATATCCAGAGGTTGTGTGCATCAAAGTGATGCATCATGTATCGCAGCAACGAGCGAGAATTTATCGTATTGTTTATTCTTTGCACCTTACATCACGTTCGCTTAAAATTTAAAACACAGTACGTGCAGCTGTTAAACATAGAGCAAAACGCATATTTAGACTTTTGATATTCGAATGCACCTTTGGAGCTAAACAAATATCACTTCTTACGCCAAATATGTCGTCGGCAATTTTCCACTGTACATTGCCCACGCTTTATGCTGCAACCCAAATGCATTTAACGAGGCAAAGCTGGTTGAAGACCATATGGCTGGAGTCAGGATGCAAACAGTCCCTTTGATGGTTGAAGTCGAGGGCAATTTCTTGTCTGGTGAACGTGCCGAAAGGAACATTGCTATCTCGCCACTGTCATGACATTACATGGCTGGTGTTGTTGATTCGGGCTGCATGCAAGGACGCCATAGCACTTACGCTTTGCAGTCATTCAGGTCATTCGATACGCATTGACTTCAGATCGGCTCCAGATCATTTCAGTTACGAGTGCTGTTATATGCGACGCATCGCATCGGTGGTGACAACTGGCTGGTTGCCCACCACTTCCCAAAATTCCCGCTTTACTGGTAAGCATTGAGCTACATTGAAGTGGTGGCAGTTACCCTCCCCACTAAACATATGGGCGTGGCATCCCCGATGAAGCGTGTGATGGCTGACCGGTCAGCCGACTTAAGTGGCTCCGCCAGCTGCACCGCGATGGCGGGGGTAATTCGGAGTTCCCTTTCCCGTATTATTAAGCTCATGCTCTTACGGCTTCATCCTTCATGCTCGCATTATTTCACTTCTTGTTTACATTTCAAGTACCAATTGATGATGGCAATGGCTGCCACTGATATCCACGTTTTGTTCCAAACCTGTTTCATATGACCCACCGCTTTCTTGGGCCCGCGCGTCGCTCATTCACAATGAAGTCACGCGAGCATCTGCATTCGCAAGTGAGCCCCACTTTTAAACTTTTGCTCCTGCACCATCCTCCGCAACAAACGGCTTATTTCGACCCGACCGATGTCATCTTGATCTCGAAACAGCCATTGTCCATGGGAACCTACCGTGATACCACATCCACTCGTACCCGCGCGACTGCCCATTGCCCGATGGCTGACTGACCCGAACACACCCCTGAATTTCGTTGGCAGCGCCAAGCTGGGCGGAGACACGCATGCGCAGGTGACGTCATGAATAAATCCTCAGATGTCGCTTAAGCAGATGCCAGATGCAAACTCGCCACTACGGCGCGTGCAAGACCACGCGACATTCCGTTGAAATTGGTACTGTAATTTGCTCAGGAGTTGGTAGGCTGCTGGCTTCGCATCGCAGATCTTTCATGGCGGTCGATTTCAGTGACAATGTTTAAAATGTTTCGAAGCCTGTCAGTGCTCATGTGCTTGATCTAGTTTTTTTGGCGGTGATCGCTCATTACACTAACCAGACCGCCTCAAGTGCACTGACATGGAAAGCTGTTCGAGCCCAGACCGTACGGCGTATTGAACTTCTCGTGTGTTACCACCACGATGCAAAACTGCAACACCTAAAACTATAACTTGTCTCATGGCCTCAAACGTCAGAAATAAAACAAGAAAGTCAAATCGGCACGACCAGGCAATGAACATTACAATACAGGCATGAAGCACCATGCAGGCATGAAGCTGTCAAGCGAGTGGGCCCTCGCTCATGTTGACCCACAATCTATCGTCCGTAGCGTCTTCCCTAAGCATAAAACTGCTTCCAGGAAGTGCTCGAGAACTGTTGATACGGTCGCTCGCATCAACTGGGGCGTCATCACGGCTACCATTTCGCCGCACAGCAACCAACCATGCAGCATTGGTTTTGGCTTGATCCACCACGTACCGGCTTTCAGCAGCCCGGCACAGAGCTCTTTCGAGCTCAGCTCGGAGTGACTGCACCTCACTCTCAAGCTCTTGCCTGGCGATGCTGGCTGCATGGCTGGTGGCCTGCATTGCAGACAGCTTGCCCTTGCTACTGGCCAGGTCCAGCTCCGCCTGGGGGCAACCGTGACGTCACACATTTCTGAGAGCGTGTCCTTGAAGGGGATCGGCTCCATCTGGTGACAGCACTGACTTCACACTCCTCGGGTAAGGTGTTCTTGTTCTTACTACTGGCGAGACCCACCTTAAACTGGACACAGTAGTGACGTCACACATATAATGGTCAGCCTATCTTTATTGCCGGCCAAGTCCAGCTCCACATGGGGAAGTAGTGACATCATCAATGGCTTATCATCATATGTAATAGGGATCATTTTTCCCGACTTCTGGCCTGGTGCAGATCCACATGGGATGGGTGCTATTAATTCTCTGGGATTGGGAAAGGGGCGGGGGACATATCACGATTGGATGAGTTTAAATGAAAGTCGAGAAAACAATCTGACCCGAATGTTTCATTCTAAAACCAGAAGTTTAAAAAAGGCGTGAATACCACGAGGAAAATGGAGGTAACAAAATACTGGTTTGTAAAAATCAATAAGACATTTCTTCGCAGCGAGTGCACATGCCTTCTAAACCCAGCGGTGACGTCACATCTATTAGTCAGGGTGTCTTTATTAACAGCCAAGACCGCCTCCACCCAGGAATGGCAGTGACGTCACAAGTCTCATTTAGCGTGTCCTAAGCACCGGCCAGACCCAGCTTCGCCAGTGAACAGCAGTGAAGTCAAACAATATTGGTACTCGCGAATGTCAGTGGAAGCCTCTTGCATTAATCGGGGATGCGGAAAGAATTAAGGGCCAGTGGTATCGGTCAGGGCGGACAGCGCCTAACAGGGCATCCTTTGTCGGCAAGCAGCCCCGACGCAGCCATGGGCACATTTACAGAACAGGAGCTGGAACGGAATTGCGAATATCAGAGGACCTCTTGCGTTGGCCGGGGCGTCTGGCAATGAAAAGCGTTACGTCAAACGCATATCAAACGGGTCAATAAGTGAAAACGGAATGACCCAAATACTGAACGGGGCCCTTCGTCCTGTTTCAGCCGCGAACCCGATAGTCGAACTGGGGTCCCTGTGCAATTAGTGGATTCATTCGTGCCAAACAGTGAACAGATTGTGGGCGTAAAATGTCCTCAGTAGTCGGCGCGCCCTGAAACCCCATCGTCATTATCATCATCATCATCATCAATGAACAGACTAACATGTTTCACTAAAGCTATTCATGCGTCTAGGTGGTCACGCTTCTGAGAATCATGTTCACTAGGAAGAGAAATTTTAAGATTTGGGAGACAATTTTGGTTTCTGGAAAGCAGCCATAGCCCTCATTTTTCTTAGGGGAAGGACACATGTCAGATGTGCCCCTGACTCCTGAGAAGCTTGTCCTGCACAATCATCCAGAAGCCTTCGTTAATATCTTGCCTCATAGAAGCCATACCCATGTGAACCCGCCCTCGCGCTCCGTGTCCAAAATTGGCCGACTTTTGTTCAGTCATTTTTTTTACGAAGGTTTATGAAACTAGGCCCAGGTCATGTCATTGAACTGAAAAACCATCACACAAATACCTGCGAACACACTTATACCAATGAGCCTTTCTGCACTTACATGATATTATACTGGACTTCCACAGCAGAGAGCTATTCTCTCAGCGTACCAAAACACGTCCTCATTAAACTCCTTGCTTGCCTGCAGAACAGTTAGCTCTGCCAGCTAACAACTGATGTTTTAAAGAATCTAGGTTTATCTTCGGCGACGTCGCGCAGATCTATCGGCCAATATTCACTGATCTCTTGTGACCTCACTCTGACCCGTGACCTCGTGCCTACCTGGTGCCGGCTGCTTTCGGCCTGCTCCAGCAGAGCTCTGCTCTCCTCTAGCTGGACGCCAAGAGCGTTCCTGGCTCGTTCTGAGGCGTCCAACTGCGCCTGGAGCTCGGTCTTCACCCGGACCTCCTCCTTCAGGAGCGCCGTTGTTTCGCCGATCTCGGCCTGGTAGCGCCGCACCGCCTCCTGTTCTCCGGCAATCGACGCGTTGGCCGTGTTGAGGGCGGTCTCCAGCTCGTTGATGTTCTGCTCTAATCTCTTGAAGCGCTCGGCCTCGACGCAGTTCTTGGCCTCCTCCAGCAGCCATTCCATGGCCGAGAAGGTCTGCTGGAGCGTTCGGTTGGGACCTGGGTTGCCGACGTCCTCCCCGATCTGGTCCGTGATGTCCTATGGGCCATAGGTCAGCTCAGGTCAGGCCACGTTCGGTCCCAATATTCGGCACCGGTCAGTTATTGGCAAGAATGACTGCTCGGTTCCACGTGCTAGATTGTACAGCGTACGATACACACCGAGCATGATGCAGGCAGGCGAAGTACCCTTAAACTAAAATACGAAGATTGAGACGGCAAGCAAAGAAGCCCAATGCAAATCAGCTAGATAAAATTATTTCGTTGCGGCTCAGCCTGTGCCATCCGTTTGACATTGGCTTTAATTGCTGCAGGAATGTGGCTTACTGCTGTTCTACCTAAAGATGGTTGTCGTCAATAGGGCCAAAGTTGAGCTTGCGAAAGTCATAGGTAACAGCACAGAACGGCAGCATAACGGCAGACCAGCATATTTCCTCCAACGGCATTTCGTAATGGCTGATCATACCATCCCGACACACAGCTACAGCAGGCTACAGTTAGCGAAATCAGGACAGGCGGTCGTATGTGGCAGGAAATATTTGCTTTGCCAGAGGCACGGGAGAAAATGGGCAGCGGAAGCCTTCACCAGATCCAGAAGCTTTTGAACACCAGACAACATCAATCTATGGGTCGGCGAGCCTACCTCGTTCTTGCCGGACAGGACCTTGTTCTCGCGGCGGATGGAGGCGAGCTGCCGCTGAGACTCCTCATATGCAGCCTTCACTCGGAGTAATTCGCTACTGTAGTTGGCACACGCCTTCCTCGAGGCGTCCAGCTCGGCTGACAGGCCCTCCAGCCCCATCTCGCCCTCATTGCACGTCTGCAATGCAGTAGATAAATATAATTTGCTGCGTTTGCAGAGGAGTGGCCCGAGGTTATCATCCAATTTGTGTTGACAAGATGTCTTAAGGTTTTCCTACTTGGATATACCGTCCACTTCTCCACAAATGTCAGCAAGTCCTTTGACTCATGCATGAAAATAGCATTATGACTTGTTGAAGATTTGGTCCGAACACCCTCGAAAAGTTGCATTCAAAGCATACCACTGTGCATGTTAACGGGGCAATGAACGGCCACATTACCTTATTCCCAGCGTGAAATAACAACAACCTTGAGGGTCAATCTTGGCGATGCTCGGCAATGTTGATCACGAAGAGTTAGTGCTGGATGCCTTAGGTAGATTCAGTCCGTGCGAAAGGAACGTACTACCCATAGAACCACGCATTTCACAACGTTCCGAAAAAAACTCGTCGCCTATTTTTGCCCTACCTGTGGTTAGCCTGCTACGTAGCTGTTGAGTTGAAAGTACGTAAAGTTGTAGTACGTAAGTACGTAAGCTAGTACGTAAAGTTGAAAGCTTGTTTCTGAGAACTCCTAATCCTCGCGATGGTACAAAGTTCTAAGCAGACAGTTATCATAAGACGTTCATCGTAAGGGCAAAATGGTGCTTTGAAAATGAGTTACCATGGCGAAGCGGAACACATTTTTCACTGGCGTGAAGTGGGCCATCCATGCCCAGAATCCCATGACGGATACATGAAACAATAATGACGCACCCATATCTGCCTTCTCAGCGGCTCAGGTCAATACCAGCCAAGATTTCCCCACCATACTCAGCATCGGGGATAATCGTACTTTAAATACAAGGCGGTTTTGGAAACTTGACCTGACACGTCGTTGGTATTGAATGACCCTTGTGCCACCATTAGCATAACATTTATTGCCGCTAATGACGTTGGAAGGTGCGTTTCATTTATTTTGCATTGCAATTTTTAAGACTCAACATAAAACAATCGCTGCCTGGCATGCCAACGAAGGCGTTGTCAGCAATGGGGGTGCTTAGCGTAAAGCCTCTTCATGCTTTGGGAATGCACTTTACAAGCAGATGCCGAGCTCATAGAACTAATCATATGTTGCGAAACGCAGATTTATTGGTTCTCAGCCAGCAGAGCCCTTAAACTGAGTTCAAATGTCTGATTTGGCTTCAGCTTACAGCTGTAAAAGTACGGCATATGAGGAGCAGTATAGCAAACAGTAGTAGTCCGTGGCGACTGCTCAGTTGGTTTGAGCGCCGGTGCTTCGGCTCACTGACCCATGGTGGGGTGGGGTCGTGTCGCTTTATACGCTCGCTATTTGTCACTGACTTGGATTGCCTTTGGCTTGTGAAAGCAGCCGCACAAGAGGCCTCAGGACGGAACGTACGCAGTGTTGTGGCACGTTGAACTTTGCCACCAAATTCTGTCACTGACCCCAAATTTCTGCATCGGACGGAGAGATCATGGCTACCACGCGCTGCTGAGCATAGGTTCTGATCCCAGAATTATGTTCATTGAAAAGGTTCGGACATAAATGAATGAAAAATAGTATTTTCTTTCACTGATAACGGCAGCACTGATGGCGCGACCACGCGCTGTGTCAACAAGATAAGCTTACCCAGTTGGTGCTCTCCGAGTCTGGCCGAGTTGTGATCTCGGATGAATGATCACTGGTCGTCACTTCATCATCTGAGTTGGACGCTTCCATAGTGCGGCAAATGGCAACGGCGCTGCTGAAACTTAGATTCTTCTCAGACAACAGTCTTCTTTGCATTTGATCATCTGCTATTCCGAAGATGAGCTGTTCTAGCAGCCTGACCCCGAGGGTATCTCCAAAACAGCAGTCGATGGCATTTTGGCGGAGAACAGCAGCGTAGTCAGCGACTTGTTGGCCAGCGCGACGGACGCGCGAGCCGAACTTGCGCCGGCTGATGGTGACTGAAAGGTCAGAATCCTCCTGACCTTGCATAACCAGAAGCAACTCTGCAAGAGGTACGTCCATCGGCTTCCGAGGTGCAATCAAACTGCGAAGAACGGCGTATGCCTTTCTGCCACATGCCGTCAGGAAGGAGACTTTTTTCTTCCTCTCGTCAGTGATGCCGCTGTACTCGAAGAACAGCTCTAGGCGCTCCTCCCACTCTGCCCACGAGCTCGAGTCGGGGTCGAACGGCTCGATGTGTTGATTCAGCGGAGTCATATCTGATGAGGCAGCCATGGTCAGGGTTCTGAAACGGAAGGATGTCATGTTCACTGCGGACAAAATACAAAACACGGTGCTTATTTGCATAGGATCATGGCAGAAGAATGAAGGGTGAGAGGCAGATGTGGCAACAGACACCTCAGTTTAAGTTCAGCTGTCGAGCGGACTTAGTCAGCGGTAAGCAGCAATGGCATAGGAACGGTTCAATAAGCGAAGGTTTGGACAGGGTCAAAGCATACTTGAGGAATATTTCCTGGGAAGTAAGCCAGGCGACCGGAGGAAGGATGACTAGCGGACAAAGAACTTCAAGTCAAGAACTAAGAAAACAAAAGGTCGACTACCATAAAGTGGAGTGGAAAAAGTCAAAAAGATACAAGTCAAATTGAAAATGACACAGGGGTGAAAGACAAAAAGGCAAAAGACTAAGTGAACAACAGAGAAAAAAGGCAAACTGTTGCCTTTTGGTCTCCCACTTGTACGGAAAAAGGGAGAAGGACGAGTCTTACAAATACAATTCAACGTGAAAGAGTTTTGTCTAAGTCTTTGAGTTTTTTCTTGTTGCATTTTGGTCGTGTGAATTTTTGTCCCGACGCTGCTATAAGAAGGGTTCTTTTGATATGCAGACACAGCGGCCGCACCACACATGCTGCAAACGGAAACACTTGGGCTCGCATCTCAGAATGGTGTCTGACCGACTGCAGCATGCCACCTCGTTTCTGTGAAAAGATCAGTAAAGGTTCAATTTAGACGTGGATAGGAGTCATATCGCATTTTTCTTTTGCTAACTAATCAGGTTAAATTGATAGCATAGATAAGGTGTAACGTTGATCAGTTTAGTGAGCGCACGCCAGACATATATACGAGTCGGCACACCAACGGCCTCGTCCCTATTCAAGAAACACCTGCGCGCACCACATGACCAACACATGCAGAGCCCGTCTTAAAAAACATACACTGAGGCCTTCATTATCGGTATATACCATCACCACCTGCTCACCTTTACCATCGAAAAATAAGACCGAACAGTTTTAACAAATATTCCTCCGTTTCAACATTGTTTCCCTTGGGCAGGTGAAATTCTACGAGTAGTTAGGCATTTTGTGTCATTGGAAGGTGACAGCCTACACAGTTAAGATGCCACAATACGGCCAGATGAAAGGCAGGTGAGAATTGTAAAATTCGAGTTAACGGCCTGTGGCGCGTCAAAGTTTCCGTGTTCCTTGGTTTCGCCGACTTGTTTCAGGAGACCGGTTCTTGTCAAAGCATTTTGGGCAGAAAAAATCGGGAAGCTCGAAATTCTACCTGGCAAAGGCATGGTGACCAAAACGTCATGGCCCTAAAGCCATATAACTGGAGTTTCGCCTCTAAAAACAAGTCACAGCTCTTTTTAAAACTTGATGCGAACCCTTTGAATGGATGGATTTTTGGGATCAGCGCTCATGCTGAGCAGTACTTGTTGTGTAAGCCCTGACCCCCACCATCCGATCGCGCAATTCCAGGCAACGGCAGAATTTAGTGGCGAAAGCTTAACGTGCCGCACGGTTCGCTTAGCACGGTCCGTTCTGCCCTCTGACGTCAACTGACCTTTAACACGACCGCTGCCACCGGCCGCAGGCCATACCTGCCAGGGGCAAATAGCGAGCGCCCTGAAGCGACTCGAACGCCCCTGCCACAGATGGGTAGATCGGAAGACAGGCGCTCTAACCAACTGAGCCACCGGGACGGACTTGGCGAGGTTGAAGGCACTCATTTCGGATTTTCCTCGTCCGAGCTCTGCTCCCGTCCACCGTCGGTGGCCACTGCCTGGACTGGCTGCCCCCGGAATAACTGACTGCTGACTGATCGTATGACTGTTGTACTGCAAGCTTATGGACGAGCATCACTGATTATTGGTGTGTACAGCAGACGGCATGCCCGCTACAGTTCCTATTTGCGAAATCATCCCTTACACCACACCCAGTAAAAAATAAACTTTCGGAAAACTGCCTGCATGAGACATGAATTGGTCCATCGGACATTTATTTGCCCCTCCTTCAGCGCAGAAAGGACAGGAAGGAAGAATAAACTTGCCTGAAGCAGGTTCCGTGTCTAGATCTGTGGCAGGCGTTGGGCGTAGGCCGGTACTTAAGGAAATTTGAAGTTACATGTTTTGTCGGCTTGTGATGCAATTTCCGTGAAACTGCCATTATAAGGCCAAAAATGATATACATATATATATATATATATATATATATATATATATATCTATATCTCTATACCTATATCTATATAACATGATACTGTAATCGTAAGCCTTCATTGACACGGCTACCATGATGCTGGCACGTTCAATAATCACAATTATTACCTCATTTGCCTGACGAATATATAATGACCCCTATTCGGCGAGCTAGCGACGGCCGGGCGCGCGCACGGGAGCTCCCTCTCTCACCGGAAAAGTGTGCCCTTTGACGATATTGAAAGGGAATGCTCCTCCTTTATATGGGGTTTTGAACTGAAACAGCCATCCTGAAGTCTTCTTGATGCAATTCACGGCCATGTCCTTTTTAAGACCCAACATCCTCTGGTTCCTGAGTAATTCGCCCGCAAAAGTGTGAAAAGGTTTACTGGGAGACTATTTCAAAGTCACCATGGCATTGATGTCGTCATAGAAACGTCATACATCATACGTCATACGGTCGCCGTTATATTACAGGCTGTTTTCTGCCTGTGGTCATAGCAGCACGGCCTCTTATGCATTCGAAAATGCCATGATGCGGCGCGTATGATACAATGCGCGGAAGGCGATTGGCTGTTAGTAAAATTTCGCTCTTGAATGCGCGCCGCGAACGTAAGCGTGAGCATTTTCGGATTGTGCGGCACTCGTGAAAGTGATTTGTATATTGTATCATGCGTTTTTGGTCTGTCATGTCAAAAGCAGAGTCAATCCAAGAATGCACACCTAACCCATATCCTAAACTAGGCTAACCTAACCTAACCTAACCCAACCTAACCTAACTGAGAATAGACCAGAACCTAAGCTAAGCTAAGCTAAGCTAACCTGACCTGACCTAACCTAACCTAACCTAACCTAACCTACTAACCTGACCTAACCTAGCCTAACCTAACCTAACCTAACCTAACCTAACCTAACCTAACCTAACCTAACCTAACCTAACCTAACCTAACCTAACCTAACCTAACCTAACCTAACCTAACCTAACCTAACCTGAGAACAGACCAGAACCTAAGCTTAGCTATGCTAACCTGCCCTAACCTAACCTAACCTAACCTAACTAACCTAACCTAACCTAACCTAACCCAACCTAACCTAACTAACCTAACCTAACCTAACCTAACCTAACCTCCCCACCCTATATCCCCTTCAACCCAGCGTCCCATTGGCGTCCATGTTCCATGCCATATATAGGTGCCATATAGTGAGCCTTTATTTAGCTGCCATGTTCTCATTTTGCTTTACATTCCGCACCCAATCCCCCTGCAACCCATGGTCCCGTTGGCGTCGAGGATCAAATTTCATGGATTCTTGTTATCTTGGCCCGGTACATTTTTATGGTTCTTGATGCTGCTTGATGCGCAGTAATGTTGTGACCCGCGCAGTAATGGCGCCGGTGTCGCGGGTGCTGTGTGTGTGCGGCGCTCGGGAGCTCGCCATCGTAATTATTAAAAATTGAAGGTAAGATCATGAATCTATCTGTTTTGTGATTATTTACGATATGTCCTGCCTTAAACACGACGAATGGTCTACCTTGGTCCCGTACATTTTGTAAAGTTCTTGGTAAGCAGAAATATTGTATTTTCGCAACGGCAACGCAGAAACGGCGCTGGGGAGCCCAGGCGGTGCGGTGCGCGCGGCGCTCGGGAGCCCGCCATCGAAGTTATTGAAATTCGAAGGTAGGAGCATGAATCTACCTGTTTTGTGATTATTTACGATATGTCCTGCCTTAAACACGACGAATGGT